TTAATGGCTTCCACTACTAGGTAATACAAATACTGATAGTGCTCAAATGTTTAATCCAGACGCAGATTTCTCATCTGAGCTCCAAATATATATAACCAATTGCCTATTGGCCATTTCCACTAGATACCCCACTAGTTTAAATTCAACATGCCCAAAATAGAAATCATCATCACTCCCCCAAATCTTGTGTATCTCCTAGACAAAGAATACACATTTCTAACAAGGATACAGATGATGCTGATCTGATGCTCCTAGTTCATGATCCACTTTTTGACCACTGCTCAAACACTTACTACCTCTTCCTACCTCCAGGCTACCAAGTTCCTTCTGCTGCCTCCTAGACCATGATATCTACACAGCAGGCGTTGTAATATTTCACAATACTCCATCCTATTGAACTTAGAATCTTGCAACACAGAATTCCAAGCATGAATTACCAAATGATGAGAGGACTAGAGATGAAACAAAGTCATTCCAGCAAAGTGGAAGTTTCTTAAGGACAGGACTGTATTTCCCATGTATCCCTAGAATCAAATCTTACTCAAGCAGGCACTCAATAAATATTTATTGAATGGATGGCATTATCATCTATCCAGTCACTCGAGCCAGAAACCATGGCAGGATTTACTCTTTTCCTCCCCCACAATCCAACTGTCACTAAGTGCAATCTTCTACCTCCAAAACGCTCATACCTGGTCCCTCCTCTCCACATGCACTGTTACTACACCCTTTCAGGTCCACATTTCTCACATTACTATAATAATTTCTTACTTGGTCCCCATGTTTAGATTCATCTATCCTATTTAATTTTCCACATGGTCATCAGATTGATCTCTCCAAAAAAGTAAATGACACAATTTCATCATCCTACTTAAGATAACAACTTCCTTAGGAAAAAAATGTGAACTCTTTCCCATGATACACAACCCTCCCTATGATCCTGCCTCAATCTACCAGACCACCCTCTTCTCCCTTCCACCCTAACTCCCTACCCTCCAGTCATGACGACCTGGCTGAGAGGCATATCTCATACTTCTGTCTTTAACGTATCACACTGCATAATAATTGTCTTCTTTACCCCACTTAAGTTCCTTGGAAATCACAATTATGTTTTGTTTGAAAGTCAGTGCTAGCGATAATAATAGATACTCAACTAAAATTTAAATAAATACACTATTTGCTATTCTCTAAACAGTGGCTCTCAAAATTTAGCCTGTATCAGAATTACCTGGAAAACCTATAAATCTGCACTGCTTGGGTCCATCTCCAGAGTGGTCCAGAGTGGGACCATGTAAGTTCCCAGATGATGCTTTTCCTTCTGGTCCAAGAACCACATTTTGAGTGTTTCAAATACATGTCTCTTCCTATCTCCAGGATTTAGTCTTTTCCTAGCTGCCTTCAACTCTGACTAGTGCAATCCTAATAATCTTTTTAGACCACCACCCTCAACTGTCACCTCCTTCTTAAAATTTTCCCTAATCCCAGATAAAACTGATCTTGCTCTATCCTTAATTTCTATCAGGCTTTGTGTATATTATTCATTTAACTCACACTTTTTCACACCCACTGGCATTTATCTTATGTTCTATACTTAAATGAAGATAGAAAACCTGCCTTAATTATTTTAACATCCTCCACAACCCAACACAGCAACTAGTGAACAGCAGGCAAAATCTGTAAGTATTTGTTGATATGAATGAATCCCTGTTGCTTGCTCAGACTGGGCCCACAGTCTGACTCACTTAATCTTCCTGGCTCAACCAAGCTGACTTCCTTATACTGCCTGGTACTTTGCTTGCCTTACTACCTATGACAGATGCCTGATCCTCCCACACTTGTCTGTCCCTTCCCCTTGCTGACTGACCCTTAGTCAGCTTCTTTACCTTGTACTTTGAGCTTTTTTAATTTTCTCATGCACTACAGGACATAATGAGTCGAGAAACTTTTTCCATATGACTGACACCAATTTTAATCCTGCCATACAACGGGTTGCTTTTTTTTTTTTTAAGTAGCCTTTCTTTGCTACAGAATCTGAATTAGGATATGTTGTATACAACTCTAAATGCAGTTATCACAGACAGCAATAAATGTGCATTAACTTTTATTTACAAAGTATGGAGGTAATTTTAATAAAAAGTTTAAAAACACAGAGGCACAAGGAAGGTCACTTTTAAAATTTAAGGTTGCCCTAAGAAACAAAATTTAGAAGAAAGCTAATTACTTACGCACTGTTACTATATGCTTCCAGAACAAAATCCTTTATTAGTTATTCCAACAAAAACAAGTACAAAAAATATGACCATATTCCTAAATTATACTAAGTCCAAGATAAATACAGTTTTTCATACATGAAATTAACTGTTTTAAAAAATGCCCCTACAAACACCTACTAACACTGAAGTACTCTACCTAAAACTATACATGCCTACCTATAGAAAATATTGTGAAGATACCTATTTATTTCAATAAATAAGCATCTATTTACTTATCACAGATAACTGACCATTTATGATTCAGGGAAAACTTCTAGGAGCTCAGCACTGAGATTTTTATACACATACAGTCTTCATCCCACCTGAATGCTCAAGTTTAAAACTCAAATAGAGGTGAAGAGCAGGAAAAACTTAACTCTCAGGGAAAAAAAAAAAAGAAAAAACCTACTATTAAAGTAGCTAGTAAAATGCCTGTCAGAAAAGAGTCTGGATAGGTTCAATCAATAAGCCTTTTTATTTTTCCCTTATCTGAATTAATCAGTGTTATTTATAAATTAAAATCTGTTAACAAAAATGTAAATATTTTCATGATACTCAGTTATAATAAACCTTTTCCAAAGAGAGTGAAAATTTTCCAAACCGTATGCTCAATTGACTAGAAAAATGAATCACATCACTCCAAAGCCCAATTTATTTGAGTTATTCAATATCCCATATGGCAGAGCTAAGCTAGAGGTATCATCTTGATACTTTCAAACCACCACTACACTCAGCAGACCAAAATAATGCTAAATTTGGGGTGCCACTGTCATGGCAAAGTATGTAGATCCTGAAATGGCATTGAGAGGATGGTAGAAAAAAGAGCCAAGAATGAATCAGAAAACAAAGACTAAAAAGGCAAATGGAAAGAAGAGGGAAATAATGACCTGGAAGAAAACAATATTGTATGGTAAATCGTATTTTTAAAAGATAAGGCAACAATGAGCACCATAGGAAAACAAATTTAAGAGCTAAAAGAGAATTTCCAAAATTCAGTCTGATGCTCAAAAAAGAAGTGAGGCTTAGGGAGATGCACTACAGGGGGAAAAAACTATTTTGAACCAGATCACTCTACTAATAATAACAAACAAAAGGCTATATGACTGTCCCTCAAGATGTACTGTTTATAAATACAAGTAAAAACATTCGCTGCAATGGACAAATACCTTCAAGATCCTGGCCTTCGAGTAAAATACATATATAAAGAAGTTTCAAAATTGCAATTCATAACTCCAAAAACTACACCAACAAAAAGACTGTACTATACGAATGCCTCTGATCTAAGTTGTTTCTGTGAAAAGCCTGAGTTTTTTTGCCTTTGGGAGCCAAAGTTGTCTCTGAGCTGCCTACCACGTTGACAGGGAAACACTTCCGCTACACATCAAAATCACTAATCATTTATTAAATCTGCTCCTAATCTGGATTTTAAGTACACTTAAAAGTGCACTTAATCGTTTGTCCTGTATTTTAAAGCTAACTTACTTGAAAAATCCTATTTTCACGTTCTTCCCCTATACTCACACCAAACTGATTTTAAATTGCAAACAGAATTTCTTTGTTCTCCAATCCACCATTCTATTTTTAAATACGTAAAATGTACATACAGGGTGAAATACAATTAAAAAGTGCAAGAAATTATCTCACGTCAGTCTAAAAATCTTTGGACAACTGTTTAAACTTTCAGAAAAAGTGTTAACAACCACATCACATGTTAAAATATCTGATACTTATGGAAAACTGCTAATTTTTTGTACTATGAATAAATACAATTCTTGATTACAAACAGGGAACTCCCCCTGGCTACCAGGAGCAAGAGAACCGGTAAGGTAACAGGCTAAAAGGGCGTCGTTGATTTCTTGGCCACAGTGACTGAGGAGGGAGACACACCCCTAGCGTCGGTTTGAAACACTACAGCAGTGAATTCTACCTAGGGATTAATGTGAGGGTAAGGAAAGACAAATTTAAATCGCCATGATTCAAAAAACCACCACCACGAGAGATTTACAGAGGTAACAAAGAAAACTAAAAACGCTGGGTAGTAAGGAAGCATTAAAAAACAAGTATCCTCCTTTACCAAAGACCGAGTGAGATTGTTTACGAAAACATACTTGGACTTTCCGGTTCGCCAGTGCAGAGAGAAAAGCAGCAGCAAAAAAGAAGCAAACAGCAGCGAAATAAATACTAACAGATGAGGGGGGAAGTAAGTGGCAGGATTCCTGCCCAGACTCCGGGCTTGAAAATGGAGTGAGAATGGGAGAAAGGGCAGCTCTGGAGAGAAAGTAGGTCTTATATGAAACCCTTTGGCTACATAGCATTTTCACAGGATTTCGGAATATGCCTGGACTTAAAAGAGTCTAGGGGCGAAAGAGGGGGGTCCACGTGGAGGGTCCGGAGAAGTAATGCAGGGCGACGGCGGAGGGAGACAGTACGAGGCCGATGGCCCAGGGAGAGGGGGGACCAGGCAAGGACGGAATCGCGGCAGCCGCGGATGGAGGGAGCGAGGGGCGCCTCGCAGAGGCTCGGGGTACCGCCGCGGGGCCTCGCTGCCCTGTCAAGCAGTCGGCCCGCCGCGGGCGCCCTCCGGCTGCAGAGGGCTCTCATGGACCCGCCGCGGCACCAGCCGGGCCGGGTCTCTCGAATCTTCCACCGGGGGAAGCCGACCGGGGGCGTCGGGGTTCGCCCCCGCCCGCCGCCCTTGGAGGCGGCGGGCTGGGGAGGGATGGTGTATCGGGGAAGCAAAGGTCTCACCATTTTGCTGGGCGGTCAGCGGCTCGCTCGGGCGGAGGAGAGTGTCGGCGCTCAAACGGGTCCCGCAGGAAGCGGCGGCGGCCCAGCTGCGCTCGGCTGGGGCGGCTGCGGCCCTCAGGACGCCCGCGGGGGAGGGGGTGCAGGCTGGGGGAGGGGAAGCGGCGCCACGGGGCCCGCGCCGGCTGGGTGACTGGGCACGCGGGAGCGGGCTGGCAGAAGAGAAATTAAGGTCGAGATTCAGAGACAGAGCGGGAGAAGACACGGCAAGAAAGAGGAGAGACAGAGAAGCACAAGAAGGGGAGAAGGGGGAAAGGGAGCCAGGCGGCTCGAGGGCTGTAGCCTCGCGCTCGCGCCGGAGCCGTGACGGACTCACTGCGGTGGCTCGCGCTGACCCGCAACCTCAAGGCACGAAAACGGGGGAGGGCAGGAGAGGGAGGGGAAAGCGGGGCGCAGCGGGGCGGAGGGCGGGGGCGCGCGAGGAGCCGGCGGCGAGGGCGGGGCTTCGGCGAACGGCGCACATCCGGGAACCCGCGCGCCGCCTCGGCTGCGGCCGCTGCAACGCTTTGGCGATTTCTGGTTGGGGAGAGCGGAACGCGCGGACCACGTTCTCCCCCCCGCCGTCCGCCCCTTGCGTGCTGTGCGGGGGGAGAACAGGGGCGGGGGTGCAGACGACAGTGACGTCGCGTGGCGGAGCCCTTCCTGTCATGTGGCTGGAGGCGGGCGGGGGAAAACGGGGCGTGGAGGGGACCGAGGAAATGCGAGGGTTCCCCGAGAAGGAGGAAATACGAGGGGTGAGGGGTGCGCACGGAACGGGAAAAGGAGGACTTGGGCCTCGGAGTGGGAGCCTCGTTGGAGAGGAGGAGCAGACGAGCGGCCTCAAGGCTGTCAGAGCCACCTAGACACCGCACCATAAAAAGAGGAAAACTCAAGCCCTGAGGCTAGAGAGAATCAGTTCACTCGAAGACAGGTATCTCTGCACTGACTTGGACCCCCTAAAAAATTGCTTGGCGCATCTAGACTATCGCCACCGGGTGCAGCACCCGTAGGCCCACACCCCAGTATGAGTGGGCAGAGACAGGAGCCCATTTAGAAAGACCGGAGAGCCAAGGCTGACCGCAGTTTGAGGTGCAGGGAGCCAAAGGACAACCGAGTAGAGGGGCTGCTTCCCACTCCCTCCGCAAAGACTTCCTCACCCAACTTTGTATTCTTTAACCCTCCAGGCTGCTGTTTGACGGGTGCCGCACTGTTTGTGTCAGAAAAACATTCGAAGACAGATTGCCCACTTAACGCTTTAGTAGGGCTGTATCCACTTTGGTGATAATTTACGTTCCCAGAAAATTAGACCATAATGGGAAATGCACAGGGAGGAAAGTTATGCTCATGGGGGAAAAGAAAGAGAGCTGATAGGAAAGGTGTGATAGGATAATGAAGAAAACATTTTGCAACTATTTTAACAATTTATTCCTTTTCAAATCTTGATAATCCCGTGTGCCTACGGATGTGAAAACATTTCTCCTGAGCGGTCAGAAACTCCTTATTGACAAATATTTTGAGTAGTTTTATAAAAAGCTGTAGTGCTTTTAGTGGCAGTCTGTTAAACCTCCTTACGTTAGAATGTTACTCTTTTTCCGTGGTAATTATTTTTCCTTATTTAAAGTACACGTCCTTTCTAATAGAGGCTCAGTGACAAGCCTGGGTCCCCACCGCACCTTTAGTTTTAAAGAACTACTGTATTTTGTTTCTTCGTCAGGATGAATAAGAAAAAGTAACTAAGTGATAATGGTGTATCACACAGTAAATTTACCAAGGAAAGGCCACCAAATAGCTTACAACATTTAATCCAAGTTTCTTGACTTAGACTATGTTCCAAAACAGTTTCAGAAAAGTCCCTAAGATAATTGTGTTATTTATGTTTTTTTAGGTATTTTATTTTTCATTAGGTTTTCATTGTTAAAATTGACATGCTCATTTAAAAATATCATATGAAAAAACCCTTCCCCGCAACTCCACCTCTGAGAGAGAATCACTGTAACTGCATTTGTGTGTGCCCCTTGCACATACTCAGTGAAAATCAAATAATCATCTGAGGATTAAATACTAAAAAGGAATTTGAATTATATGGAATGCAGACTTAGAGTAACCTATAATTTTGTCATGATTTGAGCCAATTTAGACTACAGTCATTCAACAAATATCTACTGTGAACCTAAATCAGAAATTCAAGAGCCAGCCACTGTGAAAGATTGGTTAGCCTCTGTTACTGACCAAAATAAGAGACACAAGGCCAGTCCACTTGCTCTTTCTCATCCTACAAATCTCCCAGAGTTCACCACCTACATTCTCTCAGCTTTGCATATACACATAAAATACAGCCGTATAGCAGGTTGCATCTCTGACACTGAAACTAATTGCTCAATTCTGAATAAACTGAGAGAGGTAAATCTAAAATGCACCATTAGTACCCAGGTTTTTGTGCTAAGATCAGAAAAGGATGTATGATAGTCATTCTTGTTTTTGTCTCTTTCCATCAAGCTTTGATGTAGAACTTGATATGTAAGGGAACAGGTACCAAATAGTCCTGCTAAAAGCATACGTTTTTAAATAGGTTAAGTGAAAAGGCAAAGGACATAACTAATAGGTGGATTATTCTTAACAACCAAAAGATGATTGTGAAGTTGGATCAGATAGGTTGGAGGGAGACACACTTAAGACAAAGATGCCAGTTAAAAGAACAGTTACAGCTAAGCATAAGGTAATGAGAAGTACTAATGGCAGAAGAAATGATGCGGTAAACACAAAAGACACTAAACATAAAGGGACTGACTATGCAATTTGGTGGATATAAAGAACAAGGAGAAGGAGAAATAAAAGATGACCAGTTTTAGTTTGGATGACAGAAAATAGCGATGCTGTTGAGAGAAATAGAGAAATCAGAAGTTTGTTTGCTGAGTGAAAAGAGATGAGTTTGGTTTTTTAAATGGTAAGTTTGAGTTACTGATGAGATATCCCAGTGGAAGCCCCCAAGTAGAAGCTGAAGTACTAGTTAGAAAGGAGTAGAAGTGGGGGAATCAACCTAAAAACACAGTTTGAAAGTGAAATCTTCACATTTTCTCTTATTTAGAGATAGGAAAAAGGAAGAACCCAAAGATAGTAATAAAGCTGCTAAGTAGAAAGGAAAGGAAAGGAAAAAGTTTGAGAAGAAGAAAAGTTTACAGTCTTGTTTGACCACAGGCAGCCTCAGGCTTCAGTGTCTTTACAATTGTCTTTACAAAATTAGAAATGTCATAGGAGATTTTATCATGTGTAGACCTTTAAGATCATTGTGATGTCCAGAAATCGGCCTTACTCTTAAAGGACTGATTACTGTGATTTATTGTATATAATATTTAAGGGTTGCAGAAGAACCAAGTTACCATTCCTGTAGTTGTTTAAGGTATTCCAGTGGAGTATTGCCCCAAAATATCTACTTTCATTCATGATTATACTGACTAATGTCAACTAGAAACCATATTTAATTTTATACTCTTATACATGGAAAGAAAATGACAAAAAAGAGTGTCAACCAAAACCATTTGAAAGTAATGTCTGTTCTTTTCTAGTACACATCTGTTAATGTAGATTTAGAAGAAATGTCTACCTTTCCTCCTAGATAAAACATGTATGTCCCCGGTTCAGGGATCCCAGATTTAAGAATATTTTGTACCTTTTTGCCACCTACTTCCACACTACAAAATTCTCTTTGCAGTGGGCACTGAAGCTGCTTGGGAAACAAATCGCCTTCCTTCCCAGAATCCTTGTTTGTACCAAGGAAAAGCAGGGATGCCAGCTAGCTCCTGCTCCAGGGTGTGGTTGTGGAAAGGTTCCTTGGCACCTGAGATGGCAGGGAAGTGGTTTGTTCCCTTCTTGCTAAGCAGAGGTAAGAGCCAAGATTCTAAGTTCCATCTTGGAAACTTTTTTCTCCATAGAAACCATTTCACAAAGAGTTCTGTAAACAATGGCCTTCCTACAAAAGCCTGGTTAAATTATGATATAGCTGGAACTCTGTATATGTGCTATTAAAACCACAATGGTAGAAAACGATACTCTTAAAAACTTGTAACTATGAATTAGTGAGTTTGGGGAAAATGTATACCAGTATACTGGGCTGAAAAGAAAAGGGGAAGAAAAGTCTTCCTAAAATGTATTCTTATAACTCTTCCATCCACATCTAAGTCCATGTGTTGGAGGAAAATGCCACAATGTTTTTAGAGGCAGTCTGTTAACACTCTACATGATGAGCTTTATTCTTTTTCTGTGCTGATTATTTTTCCATAGGGTAAGTACATTACAATGGAGTAGCTGTCTGGATAAAGGTGACAGTGGAAACCATGAGATAGAGTACAGAAATCAAAGAGCACAGAAGTGATGGAGCAGACCAAAGGCAAAACCAAAGGGAAAATCTACATTTAAGGGGCAGAAGGAAAAAGAAGTGAAAGAAAAGATAATAGACTAGGCAGAAGGGCAGGAAACCCTGTAAGAATGCCCAGGAAGCCGAAGAAGAGTTCAAGATGAAGGGTGGTCCAGCAGTGTGGTGAAAGAGGACCAAGAGGGATGCAGACATGCAGGCAGTTGGTCGACATCCATATATATCCATTGAAATACCCTAGATTATGTGTCTTGAAATAGTTTTTCTGAATTAGAAGTCTCATTTGTTTCTTTAGTCTCTTGCACATAAAAGTGAGTACCAAGAAAAAGCCATTTATTTGGACTTTGATAGTATTTCCACTTGTTTACTGAGAGTATTTACCTTATAGCATTTATATAAACAGCATTTTCCTATACATACAGAAAATGATTTAAATGTAAAACAAATTATGACACCAGAGAAGACCTGTTTATCATACTTGTTAACTCACTGATACACTTAGAAATATCTGCGTGTACTCCACACTTGCAAGACTAGAGTGAGATCCTAGTTCTAATCCCACCTCTGGCTCCAATCCATTTCAGTGTGACTTTTGTAAAGTTACTAAAGTCTAAGTCTGCACTATCTAATATGGTAGTCACAAGCCATTGTGGCTATTTAAATTTAAATTAATTAAAATTGAATAAAATTAAAATTCAGTTCTTATGTTTTGTTAGCTACATTTCAAGTGTTTGAAAGCTGCATGCCCAGTATCTACCATATTAGACATCTGTTGGGCAGCACCCATCCCCATCCTTTACCTGAAAATATTCATCACTAACCACTAATATAATATTTGTTTATTATGAGGGTAAGCAAATTTAAAGTACAACAATTTGAAACAATCTTAGGTGCCCTTAGATATACATTTGAACAAACATATCATGGACATTAAAGAAAAAATCAGAAAATATATTTGAACAAATGAAAATTTGCTAATGTCAGAAAAAATGTGCGTCTGTATTAGAGAAAGAGACTTAAAAATGAAAAACTTTAAAAATATTATAAGTACTTTTACTGACAAAAATGCATATATTCTATATTAAAATGTTTAGCTTTTTAAGCATCAAACAATATACAACAAACAACAGAAAATTTTTAATTTATAAAAATATTTTTAGCAGCTGCACAGAGTTGTTAATTTACTTTGTTTTCACTAATGATTTTTATTTTTTTATTATAATCCAATTTCTACATTTCACCCACAGCATTAATATAGATTTCAAGTAGCAATCAGGACATTATAGAGGAATTTTAAAATGTAAAGAGAATGTAGTAAGGGAAAAACTATTAACCCTGTCATCTCCCAGAGATTCTTAAGAGATCTTTAATAAGTAAAGGTCAAGGTTTCAGTTTTATATTCCATCTAAAAATAACATTCCTTACTGCTTTTGTATATAAAGGATATGACCTCCTTATCATGTATTAGGATTATTTCCCTCAAGCTTATACTTTGACTGTTGTTTCTGTTTGTGACATTTTTAAAGTTTGTTTTCTCATTCTGTATATGGAAGAAAATATAACACGTGGATGACAACTAAAGAGTTCCTACCCTTAAATATGTAAATATTCTTCTAGTTAATTAAGAACTATTTTCTCATATTATTAACCTCTCTTCTATGCTGAGCATTGTATATATAGTCAATGGTTAGATTGGAAGGTAAAAAAATATATTAAATTACCAACCACTCTTTACTTACAAAGTATGGATTAATTAAGGTTAATTTGACAGTGGCTATTTACTCTCTTTTCTATCAGATAGTTAATATGATTAATTAAAAACCTCCTTTTGACCTTAAAAATAAGCAAAAATTAATCTGTCAATCATATTCTTCGATGAACAGGCAAGTAATGTATGCAAATCTGTATTAAGGCTGCATAATGAAGTACATATACAACTAAAATTTTTTCAGAAATGGAAAAACAGCTGAAGATATTGTCTTCTGAAATGTAATATGAGTTAGGGTCACCTGTGTATTATTATGTTATAATTTTGTACCCACTGAATACATAGCCTATATAATGTATATAGTTATGACATGTTTGTGATGCACATTGGCTCCATCCAAATACATACACTATTCACAATATTACACAAAATTTATATCAGATTTTTCTTTCTCTCCAGGGTACTCTAAGTAAGGTAACTGATAGAAAATTAAACTAGCCTATTATTTGTACATAAAGATAACTGCAGCACAGTTCCTCTACATCTATATTCTAGGTACATTAAAACATTTTGTTTCAACAAAGGTAACATCATAACTAAATATAGTTACAAAGCTAAGCTCCATTCTGGGTAGTTCTTACTCTCTTTTGCTGCTGGAATGGGTTGTTCCTTGTGCAGTGTTCTAAATTATAAACATCTTTAACAAAAAAGAATTAAGTGATTATATCAGTTTTCCTTGTAAAATTATCATAGAAAATTGTTTTTTCAGGGCAAACTTGTTGGAACAGAACTTAAAATGTTCACTAGCATATTCTTTATAATGTTGTTCTTCCAGAAAATGAGTTACCAAAAAAGCATATTTTGAAGAAATACTTGTGGAAATAAATATATAAGACATGATGTTGTAAATTGTGAATATTCAGTAAATGAGCCATGCCTGCATATTCAAGACTGTATCATTAAAATTAATCATTACGCCTTTTTAAATAATTTGCTTTTTTGAAAAATTGTATATACAGAATTTACAGTATTGTAAATAGAACTTGTTCTGCATAATTAACAAATTGTACAAGGGCAAAAATTCTAAAGGTCACAGCTGGAAATTGCAGTGTAGGTACATTTTATGCACTTTATCATAATGAGGAAGCTGGTTATATTTCTAAGAAAATATTCTAATTATAAATTGTATATTTCTGAGTAAGGATGAAATGTTTGGTAAGTAAGTTTTCCTCAGTGAATTCTACATGTTCTGTGATTTTAAACTGGTCTTTGGAGGCCCCTAACAAGGAGATCCTGGTGTTCAAAGGGTGTGTGTTCAAAGGTAAGGACTCATGGAGTCGAATCAGGAGAGGACTCTTAGAAGACTCAAATCAGCGAGTGGTTGAGATACACATATTCTTTTGACAGTAAATGGGCATTGGACAGGCAGTGTCTGCAGGGTGTTTGAATAGTGGTGGGCGGAAGGATGAGGCATTATAAACACTGAGTTTAAGAACTGTGAATCCTTATGGAGTGCTTCAGTACCCAGTACTATTGGAGAAGCTTTGAGGGATCTGATCTTGGCAGTCAGTGGGGTGTGAAGAATCACAGGAATAGCTGGAAGAGCATGGGAATAAGTATGACTAGTTTATAAAGATACAGTTTTAAGTATTTTGAAGCCTGTGTCATATTTTTAAGTCTTCTCAGTTGACTGGAAATCATTCTGTGAAACTGAGAAGAAAGCAGATTAAGTGAGGGGACTAGAAGACCCAAGTCTGTGTGACTTCAAAACTCAAGCTTTTCACCACTATGTGATATTGCTCTTTGGTGTGTAACTGTGGCATTTGTGTGTGTGTGTGCGCACACATGCATATGCAAGCACATTGGCATTATCCCTTATATATTTAATTTTCTTTTAAAAATAAAAATAGTGTCATGTTGTTTTTTAACCCTTTCCGTCACCAACTCTTGTGTTCACATAACAGGGTTTGGAGAGCTCTGGTAACAATGGTTCTAGGTACCTAACCCTAAGCCTAAAAACCATATTTTAATAAAAGCCAGTTTCCTCCATTAAAAAAAACAGTTCCTGAGGGCCATAATAAAGCTACCAATGACTTGGGCCATTAGTCTGTCAGACAGGAAGCCCAGAAGTTGGGATGAGAGGAAAGACAATGAACCAATATTTCTGAGTTTGTAAAAACAATCAAATATGGAGATATTCAGGGACATTCATGACCACACAGACCAACTTTTTCTACTTGGAATGTTTTGGGCCATTGTGTAGAAATAGCAGAAATATAATTGTTTTCACTATTTTCTTAACTACTGTTTCTACTCATTAGATAATTATGAGTGAACTTTTTAAAAATTACAACTTTGTTTATACAGTAAATAAATGTGTCTCCAAAACACACAGGAAGCAGATATGCAGAATAAGAAAGTGAATTTTTAAACTTTTTTTTTGAAAACTCAATTGTGGTTCCATTGCTTGAACATGTAGTCCTCCATAATACTGCTTCATTGTTATATTTCATACTTGGAGTTTGTGGTTATGTAAAATAGATCAGATAGTTTGTTTTCCTAATATGGAGATCGTTGCATCAGATCCAGATCCTTCAATTTTGTCAAGTTTTGCTGTGCATTTTCTCACTCTTTTCAAGGGAGCAAAACTAGTCCTTCCCTTCAGTTCCTCCACTGTGTGGACAGAGCAATCAAAACTGACCTTGAGATCCCTGTCCATTAGTAGGATATAAATATTTTTAATATGAACTTGAATTAAAAATGACTTTTTAAAAAGGAATAAAAATAAAAAACAAAAGTACTTCTCCAAATTACAATCCCTGACTGGGATGCATTTTCTCATCTCTCACTTGAGGGATTTTGAATAGATGAACCCTTCCAGCTCTACAGCTCTATGCTTCTATTGTTTCTACCAGACCTTAGGAAACTTGCCAGAGCAAAACCAGACAAGCTCCAACTGCAGCTACTGAGAGGAACACAGAGGTTCCTCTTAATTTCTTGGGTTCAGCAACTTTCACTTCAGAACCTCATTTTGGTCTGCTGGCTACAGAACTGGGTCCTGCCGCTTTCATTTCAACTTGGATTACATGAATCAAAGTCAAAGAGAATTGGGCCTTCTTATTTAAGAGATAGAAGTGAAAAAATAATAATAAATAAAACTAGGGGGTTCCCAGGACAAAGTAAGTGATTTTTAAAGGGGAAGGAATAAACTTCTTATAAAAAGATGATCAAAAACCCTTTAATCACAAATTGCTTATACTCCAGGGAAAAAGACCAGATCCAAGACCAAATTCCAAGAAGCCTTTTTTAATTTCAAAAGATCCTGATTTCTGCCCCGATGCAGCTAATAAAGTACTTACAGGGGCTTTTTTTTTTTACAGTAATACTTGCATTTTTATTTACCCATAAATACCACATAGTTCACAGTCTGGTTCAGATTAATACCAACTTAATTTTTACAGGATACAAAAACTTTGCACTCACTTACAGGGGCTTTTTTAAAGAAGAAAGCCCACAGTAGATTAGATTCTAATGTTCTCAGAGTTCTTTGGCATAGAAATAACTTACAGTGCCCTGACTGATAGAAGAATAGGTGATAAATGGATTGAAAACTATTTAGAAATAAAGGTCTTCTAAAATAGCAAACACAAAAGGAGAATTAGTTAAAATTTCATGTAATTGTTCAAGATATGTAAAGACTGTTGTTTTCTTTCACTTGAGAACACATAATTTTCTAGATTTTTATAAACCCTGAATGCTTAAATTATTCACATTTATTTTATCTGCCTTAAATTATTATGTAATGAAAATGTTCCCCAAAGATTCAATTGGCAACACAAAGTGCCAGTAAGTACATGCCATAGTATAAATTGTCCTTAATCTACACTGTCAAAAATAAATAAAATCCACAACCTAACAGCCAATCTGGAATCTTCTCTATGGTGGAATTAGGTGTGTTTTAATTTCAGATAATTGATTAGGTCTAATCACCAAAATAGTTTCTAATTTGCCAATGTCTAACAGTCAATGTGATAACTGGGGCACACCACTAAAAGATAGCACTGAAATTAAAGGAGAGACTCAAATGTTAATTCACCCACATTGTGCCTACTAGCCTCATTTTCCTTCTGAACTACACCCCCATGCATCTTTTGCATGCAGAGTTCTCTTTGAAGCTGTAAGAGTTTCATGCGTGGGAAATCAGGGGAATCAAAGCTTCCTTATACAAAAGCATATGGTTAGGAGTCCAGGGAATGCTGAAATGTACTACATATTAGTAGCCTCCCTGTGGGGAGTCATCT